CACTGCATATTAATGATATCCTTTTTGTAAATCAGGTATACTCGCCCAAATCAGGGGGAAAAAAAAGTTATTTGAAGATTCTGATGTATTTTGCACACCTAGAAGCTTAAAATATTGTGATACAAGGCAAGTATGGACCGAGGACTGCTGGGAGGACGCTGTTTAAGCATGAGAGCATAGAGTAGGAAGGAGAACACTGGAAGATTTTTTTTTTTTTAAAATGTAATTTTATCTTCATAAATGTCTTCCAGGAGGAAACAGAAGATGTTCAGGGGTGCTGAATCAAGAATGGGGACATCCTTTTAGCATCAAGATACACACCGGAGAGGGAGACAGAGGCAATGAGAGAAGCGCAAGGTGCAAACAAGTTGCCTGCGGGAAACTCCTCGGCGTGTTAGGATAGAGGAGACAAAATGCCAAGGACTTCAGAAAGAGCGGTCATCAGAACAGCATCAGTCACAACAGAAAAAGAAATATTTCCTCGGCTCCACCCAGCTGACCTGGGCAGCTGCGGAGGGGAGCGAGCGTTACCAAGGGAAGCCCTTGAAGGTATCTCGGAGCAGCTGTGCCCCTTGGGCACGGAGAGGAAAGCCAGAAGCCATGCATCTTGCGAAACTCCCACCGAGGTAGTACTTCACCCCCTGCTGTGGATGGTATCTATCAAGCCTAAATGAACATTGCATGCCACAGTAGTCAAAGAGCATTCAAGCTGCGGGATAATTAATGTCAGCCAAACCCCGAGCCCCTTACGCAATACACTTTTGGGAAAATGCCCACTGAATAGAATAGAATAGAATCGTATTGTATCGTTTAGGTTGGAAAAGACCTTTAAGACCATCCAGTCCAACCATTAACCCAACACTACCAAGTCCACCACTAAACCAGTTAAGGGGAGAGTAGCATTTTCATGTTCCCTGGCTTGGTGGCTGCATTATTTTTTGATGACAGTAAAAACTAGGAATCATTCAGGTTGGAAAGGACCTCTAAGATCATCAGGCCAACCATCAACCCAACACCACCATGCCTACTAAACCATGTCCCAAAGTGCCACGTCTGCTCATTTTTTGAATGCTTCCAGGGATGGGGACTCCACCACCTCTCTGGGCAGCCTGTTCCAATTCTTGACCACCCTTTCCATAAAGAAATTTTTCCTAATTTCCAACCTAAACCTCCCCTGGCGCAGCTTAAGCCCATTTCCTCTCGTCCTATCGCTAACTAAATATCAAGCAGCGAAGCCAACAGCAGTTGTTGGTGCACCAAACTTACTAGGTGTTTCCCGATTCTGTTTTGTACTCCTCTATTTCTAACAAACCGACAAAGAGAGCAGTCTTGGTTATAAGAAGGTACTGCGCTTTTATAAATACCAACGCTACCAACAGCATAGTTACTTTGGAAATTTGTTTTAAAAGCCTGCTTTACATGTTTGAAATGTATTTAATTGTGACAGCAGTTTTCAATTCACCCTCCTGAAGTACAGGGGAAGGAGAATGCCCTTTGCTTCAAACGGCAATCCAAATTAGGCCTCCTAAATTCACTCTTACCCACGATCCAAGACAATTAATGATTTCTGTTGCAGCGTTTTTCGTAACACATGTTTCTGTGTTGAAAATTAGCTTCTATTCACCAAATGCCTCCCCCAATATCCCCGACTTTCCCTGCCCTGCGTTCCCACGGCTTTCCTCAGATAGAAATCTCAGGCAGCAGTAGGGTGACAAAGCCAGCGGCGAAGATGGGGAGGACGCTATCATTCAGGTGACGTTGACCTCGTCTCTTCAACGATACAGCGGTAAGTTAACAAATACATCGTAAATTAAAAAAAAAAAAAAAAAAAAAAAAAAAAATCACTGACACTGGGCTAAAGAAATAAACCCAGGTGAAGGGGGCCGTATATTGTTCAAGCGAAGTGGAAAGTGCTGTCTGTGTGTACCAATTTGCTGGCGTTGTAATTGCCGCTGCAATTGTATCTACACAAAGCGTACTGCCAATTCTCTATCGCCAGTGCGTACGCTCCCCACGTAAAATAACTGAAAAGTCAGGAAAAAAAACCAAAGGCTGGAGGAGGTGACCAAATTCTGAAGAAAGGGGAAAGCAGCGGTCTGCCTAGAAGTCACAAATGCTAGATTTTGTATGTCTGCCGTACGACCAAAATGTATGTAAGAAAAGTTGGGTTCCCACCCTTAGCTGATGTACAAAATCCATTGGATTGGAAGAGCACAGAAATGAAAGGATGCTCCAGCGCTCTAGTCCACAAGCTATGGGTACAGAGGTACACTGTATACTGTCCTTCCATTAACTTACATCTGCAGACCCTAGTAACTAAGGTTTATTTATCGTGTTATCAATTTATTCATAAATTAGGGGTTTACAGGCTATATAATAACTACCTGGTCTCTGACTGAGGTGCTCAGGCATTACTATTTATTTATTACAGAGAAGTAATGATACTTTATTTACTTCCTGATTTTCCCTTCGGTCAGAGAAAATTATTACATAATTTAAAAAACTGAAACAAAGTTTGGAAAACAGAATCAAGGCGGGGGGTGCGTGCATGCGTGCATGTTTCAGAAGAACGAAAAATCTGTAACACTATCTCTGGGACGCTGAACTCGGCAAGAATCATTAATTCGACATCAATTCCCAACAGAAGTTGTAAATTAATGTTTTTAAATTAACTTTTAATATAATACTAGATTTTTTTTTTTTTTAATCCATAGGCACATTAGAAATGTCAAATACTCTCAAAGTTTAAAATCCGTATCTAGCCCCATGAACGGCCCCCTTTGAAAAGTGCTCAACATGCATTTCTCAAACTCCCCACTGTTTAGTGCGACGGACAATTCGATTATGTCCTTTACCTTAGGCTCCTGTATTTAAGACTTGCATTGTAAGGCCAGATTTTCATTTGGTGGCATGGAATCATTCAGATATCTAATTCAGATATATAAACCTGTATGTACATTCAGCGATTACTTACTCAACAGCAGTATATTGTGAACAACTTCACAGCTCCTTGTACGTTCACTTGTCCATGGGAAGACGATGCCTTGTATGAATACCCCCAAACTTAACTGCATAGCAAACCTTTGAAAGCCTAGCTTATTCTGATTTATTTCCTATTCCTCTCTAATCTCTGAGTGAAAATAAGCGCGCTTTATTCTCTCTATCGCTTTATATTCATGTGGCTCCACTAAGAACACCACCACTAATGCAAGTAAGAGCAAAATTTGTTCAAAGTTAGACCAAAGGCTTTGGCACTGGAGATCTTTTCCTCATCCCAAATGCCAGTGACTTGAATATCAATAAAGCATGGGCCCGTCTAACATCCTCCATGCATCACTCAGCTACAACCTTAGAGAATGAAGTAGCTATGGTGACAGCACCTTCTTTTCAGCGCTAAATGCTGCGTTCTGGTTTGGCAACACCAACCTCACCATCTGGAGAAACTTTATTGCAGGGAGCGCCTGCGAGTGCCTGCTCTTTACCCCTCCTTTTTAGGACTCGTTCTACATTATGTTTAATCAGCATTCCCCACCATGAACACCACCACCAGAGGTTTATATTCTATATATATCCCTAAGGTACAAAATTCAGACAAATTCATAGCTGAAAAAAATCTGCTGAGTTTATCGAGGGTTCCCACCTGACTTTTAAAAGCAGCCCTTTGCACACAGACGCAGTTCAAGATGCCAGATTTCTCTTATAGGCAAGCACTAGAAGTCAACTATGCAAGTAAGGTTCGGTATTTGATTCAGTCCTAAACCCCAAGCATCTGGTAGAAAAATCCATTACCCTCGAAGTTTAAAGAAACATTTATCCAAAGTAAATAACTCGCAGCTGTCTCTTCACAGTGTAATCCCTATCGTTACAAAGCATCTGACGCTTACACAGGACAAGGTACGAGGCTCCACAGCGCAACACAACGTACGACAGAAAGTTACAACTTACATCGGGCAGAAATGGGAAAAAGTGTGCCAGGGCACAGCGCAGAGAACAGCAAAGGTGTCAGCTGAGGCTAAAAACCATACTTTTGAAATGAGCTGAAGTTTCTCGAAAAATTCTGCCTAGGTTTTATTTTTTTGAATCTCTGAATAGAATCATACGTGTTTATGCACGTACATGTGTGATGTGCCAGATGATTAAACAAGAACACGAAATAAATAACACCACACACATACAGTCTTTATTAAGAGACTTCCGGAATTACGCTGGAATTCCTTGTCCAAGCCTGACTCAGTCTGATCTTTGCAAGTCATTAATAAATTATGGCTCACTCTATTTGTAACCTTATGCCACGTTACTTTTATTCCATCTTCCTCGGTTAATATCAGTGGGACTTGCTGCCAGCATGCAACAAAATCAAAAATATTTTCCCATTTCTTTACAAGAGACTTTGGATTTCTTCCCTTCCTCTAACCCTCTCCCTTGATGGAGCAGTGGCATCTTTTAAGTAATATGTGGATTTTAATGGCTCTGAGCTCCTAAATGACATCTAGATCTGATAGGTTTTTTAGACTGCTAATCTTTCTTGCATTTTTTTTTTTTTTAAAAAAAAAGCATGACCTTACAACAGTCTTTCAAGATAAAATGCAGTAATGGAAATTAAAATTAATTTCTTAAATTATGATGATGCACTATTTCTAATGTTCTCCCTTCCAACCTGCTAAAAGCTTTGTAGATGGGAGGTAAAAGTCCGAGAAAACCTTCCCCTCCCAGACTGTCAGAATATCTGAGTTTTTCCTGGCTTAAAGCAACAGTACCACCTTGCTAATGTTCAGCCCACACTATTCACAAACCCTGAAGTCAACATACAGGCTACCAAGAGTGTGGAGGGCTGAGAGGACTGAGCACGTAAGGAAAGACCCTGTGATATTTTGGAAAAACAGGATCTATTTGAACTGAAAGCGACTCGAGTAAAAAGCCGATCGACGTGATTCAGAGCCATCTAGTGAGCATCATTAAGCTTGGCACCGGTCCACGGCTGGTACAGCCCAAACGCGAAGCAGCTTGCTGTGGTGTGCTGCAACGGCTGAGCCTCGGGAGGTGTCAAAAGCGTGGAAACGTTAAGGACAGACCGAAAAGGAGAGGTGAAAAGAGAGACGGAGAAACGGGACAGGATCTAAGCAACAGTGCACAAACTTCTGGGAAGTTTGGGTTTGCAGCTCAGACCCGTATCTAGAAAAAAGTTTTACTCTGCTTTGGAATAGTTGTTCTCCATCTGTATGCACGTAGATTTTGCTACCTAGCTCAGTGAAGCCTGTCGTGTTGCACGCACTTCCACACGCTTAAAAGATATATTGAAAGCGCTGCAGCGCTTTTGCCAAAATCCCACAGAAAGGGGGGGCTAAAACCAGAAAATTAAAAAAAAAAAAAAAAGAGGAGAGAGATACGTGGAGAGAAAGACAACATTCCGAATAAAGGAAAGAGACATTTTAATGCATCTGCAACTCACAGTTGTGGTGGTGGTAATCTCCTCCGTTACAACCTTCAGCGTATCGACCACTGAGATATATCCCAGACGCCTTGCGATGGCTAAGGCGGTGTTACCATTCTGAAGAGAAACGAGAGAAGGGGAGAGAGCGAGCGCGCCGTGAGAGGGAGGATTGTGATGTGAACCAATGAGATCACTCTCAACACTGCATGAGCCAGCATTTCCATCCAAAACAAGGCGCAGCCTAGGAAAATCACTGGTTTTTTACCGTTACATCTGACTCTGTCTTTGTAACTTCTTTAAGACTATAGCCCCGATTACCATGGTAACACAACACACTTACAACTGCCTGCTATGCCAAATAAAAAAAAGTGCCGTGCGGTTTAACCCTTCAGTGCTCAAATTTCCCTCTACAGACTGCGTCTTGTCTGCAGAAGTTCTGGTTTTATTCTGCACAAACGGCTCTACGGCAGAAACACTCTTCTAAAAACAAGTATTTTAAAATGTTGCAGTTTCACTTCCAGTTGAAACTGTTAAAACTTTATCAGGTACCATTCCCTCTTCGGGGAATACCAGATTACAGCTGTATTGTCCACATACACTTCTATTACTCCTTACAACAAAAATATATGCCCAATAAAAGTACACAAAAGCTAATGATTTAACGAACACAAAACCTGCCTATATAAGGCTTGGGGGCGGGGAGTTAATATCCATTTAAATAAATTTCTTTGCAGTTTAAATGCCCATGATATATAGACATGCCATTCATCAAATGGCCATTAAAGTGATAATTTAGTAAGTGTTCAGGCCTATTTATCTCCACTTCATCACCTTGGCAGTCCACGGGCCCCGCGCCACTCAATTTGGGGAGGGGAGAAAGGGCCGCGTTCCACGATTCTTGGCAAAGAGCTCTGCACAGAATTGTTTTCTGTTAGTTTGCACTGAACCAAAGGACAACATGCTGGCCCACTGGGGGCATCACGGAAAGCCACTGTACCGCTCTTGGCACTGAAATGATTTCTCCCGTGACACCGCTGCACCGTGCGCAGGATATCAGCCTGAGCGCTTCTCCCTACTCCAGCGTGGGCTTGACTTACCTATCATTTCAGTTCTTCCGTACTAGTCTAGCTCAGCCACCCTGAAGCAACACAGGGTTTGTGGATTTAGCAGCACAAAATGAACAGATTAGCATCTTCACGGCACAAATAATTCGGCTGTTACTGTCACTTGCACATTAACTGCTCACATCCCCCTCCCAGATGTCTCGGGTTGAAATTCTCTCTTATCTCAAGCTAGAGGTTGCTACGTGTGGACAAGAACAGACCTGGTACCTGAGGAAGCATGCAAACTGTGCAATAAAGACACATCCTTGAGAGCCTGCTTGGATTTGGGTTAGATTTGGGCATGACGGCCCCAACGCAAGGACTGAAAGCAAGTAGAGACACCTTCGGTTGAATACGCCCAATAGCACCTACAGCCCCAGGAGCTGACAACAACGGTCTCTCGCTTAATCATCTGGTGCATAAACTGGTATTTTGGATAACCTCACAGAAGATTATTCAACGTGATTGTTCCCGGACCAAACAGGGCGCCAGTGCTGATTTAAGCATGCACAATATACACACACAGAAACCTGATCCACTCTGGGGAATGACACGAGTTTTGGACATGCTGGCTGCATTTTAAAGATTACCCAATTAGAGGTGACTAATAACAACATCAACATGAAATAGGACAGTTGCATTCCTGGCTGACTGCGGAGAAGGAGCTGTGCCAGAGGTTATTGACGGTCTTTGAGGACACATTAACATCAGTGAACTCAGTAAGAACCTGAAACAGATCCAGTGGATAGAGGGACAGAAATTTGGGTCTCAATCTTCAAAAAAGCCCAGGTTCCGGTTTCCCCTTCATTTTTATGGAAAAGTCCTTATCAAGATATCAATTTACCAACAGAAGTGTTTTCCCCTTAATTTTTATGGAAAAATCCTTATCGAGATATCAATTTACAGATGGCAGCATTGAGGCAGAGGGCAACTGGACAAGCATGGCACAGCTAGCCATGGCCAGCCTGACCCTGCGGCTCAGAAATCAGCTTCCCCACCTCACGTCTAGCTTGGTGCACAAAGAGTTAGATCCGAGCTGAACTACCTTAAGAGGACAAGAAGGGGAAGTTACGTTTACACATCTGACAACCAGCTGTATGAGGAATACTTTCACCAACAAAACAAAGGCTTGCTCTCAAACCCTAAGAAAGAAAAGAACTGTCCAGGGAAACAAGTTCCCGCTGGCACTTCACAGACTTACAGTGGTGGTGGCGTTGGGCTTGGCCCCATGTTGGAGAAGAACGTTAATGATGTGCGTGTGGCCTTGTTGAGCAGCTTGGTGAAGAGGGGTGTACCCATTCTGTCGTCCACGGGGGTCAGGATAAAAGCAAACAAACAAACAACAACAACCACCAGTGATTAGGTTAGACACGTCGTTTTGCTTCCTTCTGCTCCTTTTGAGACATTTCAAAAAGCATTTATGCTATCAATCAAGCCAAAGATAACAAATCTTCAGTAATAATAATACTCCTTCCCCAGATTACCAAAACGATAAAGGAAGATAATATTTTTATTCACAAATCATCTTTCGTCTCACAATATAAGCAATCTCTGAAAAGAGAGATAATTCCTCATTTCCTAAACCAGAGAGAGGAACCATGAGGAACAGTAAAGTGGCATGCTAAGGACATTGAATCATAGCTGAGGCAGACAACATTTCTCTCCCTCTCACATCTTCATTTTCTATACAAGCCCCAAGATTTGCCTTTAAAATATTTGAGCCAATTTAAAAAACGTAATTTTTAACAGCAGTGATTTGAGACTATTTTCTTTTCAAAAGGCTAACGACATATACCTATTACAAACGTCAATCAATTTTAGCTTTACTTTGCCTTCAAAAGGCTTGACCAAGCTGTAATTACACTTAAAAACGTATACACAATGGCTGTATTAATAAACACGCTTAACTCCATATACTTATCTGCTCCAGTGATTCATTCTAATGTTACACAATACAGAAACATAACCAAAGTGTACTTCAGCTGGTTGATCTGAGATGCTATTGTGTAAGGCCAGTCAAGCAGTTCATTTACAAAATTGTTTGCAATTGGCTTTGAAAGCAAGCAGAGAATAAACTGGAAGAAAACACCCAGTTGATCTCGCTGTACACTTACGTAAAGCCTGGGGGCAGGCTCTGAAAGACACGCTCTGAGAGTTATCTCTTTTGCAAACGAATAGATGCAAGTAATGCTTTGTACTGCTAATTAGACAGCGATAGTTCAGAACTGTTACAGTTCTTATATTTACAGCATGCGTGCATGGACTACTAAGAAATCAAAGGAGGATTTTACTGTAGGTTGTAGTGCAAAATAAATTCGCTATCTTTACTTAAATATTAGTGCAGTCCTTCAAAACCAGAATTCAGCCACATTATTTTTCACTGGAGATGGCACAAAGCAGCATGCAGGCTTTCTCTAGCGAAAAACCAAGCTGCAACAGAGGTTACTTACTCTTTAACACCCCTATCCTGAATCCAGCCAGGATGGATTTGCTCTTTAAACTGAGTCCACGGTACCAGCGACAGCTTGCCGGTATTTTTACTGGTCCCTAAGTGTGAGATTTTGGAGAACCACTGCCCCATACTCTCATACAAACTTGCTGGCTTTAATGAAATTATTCTAAATAAGTGAAATACCTGGGGAAATGGCACCAGAATCTGGCCCTGCGGCCCCTTAGACATAGAGTGAGACCTCATACTAAAGACACAAGTATGTCTGTCCCTTTAGTCAGCCTCCAAATACCTCAGCTGAACGTCTTGGCAGCTCTCGTTTGGATCCTGCTAGTGTCTGCTTTATTAATTCTTATCAGCTGTTTTTCTAGTAGCATTGCCTGTTCTTTTGGAATCCCTGGGTTTTGCCCATTGCTTTTGGGTGACCTCACGAGGGATGGGCCAGCATCTTTTATTTATTTACTTTGCTGTTTCTCACCACATTGAGCTGTGACCACTGTGATGAAATAGTGCCTCTGAGAAATGAATCCATCCCATAGGTCGCAGCTGGGGACAGAGGAGCTGGCCAGAGGGACCAGCAGACCACAAGCCTGTAATTTTGATTGGATCTTACAAATACTAAGTATGTCACCAGAAATATCGATAGACTCCTTCACGTTGATCCCAAGACATCCAATCCGAAGCTAGCAGCCAGCTATTGCCCGAAGCCAGCTCTAACTAAGCTGAAGCCCTGCAGCTCCTGAGTCAGCCTTCTCTTTCTGATAAGGGTGAAGTGATGATATCTGGGGTGCAACAACACTGTTGCTTGCCACCGCAACTGCTCTGCCTATACTCAGGAGATACACAATTCTTGCTACAAAATGCATCGCATTTTGTATGTGCTCACATTCAGCTGTTGGGCCCACCAGTTTATACTAGAAGAAACCGCTGAAGTCAGTGGATTTCGTCCAGACTTTGGCTATAGGCAGTCAGGTCCATTTCAGTATAACTGGTCAGTAACAGTGTACCCAAATTCCCCATGAAAAAAACCCTAAAAAACCCCAAACCCAAACCTGTCTTCAGTAAACTGCATTCCCCCACCACAGCTGCTTCCTCTCCCAAAGTCATACCACCCACGCTTTGACCAGCAGTAATTCTTCCCACTCCTCTCCCAGCAGATTGGAGAGAACCTGGCATCACCCTCGAAGTGTCTGAATTGTTACTTCCTAGTTTGGCAGCACACCGGTATTACACTGGTGTAAGCCATGTGTAAAGGAGATCAGAAACAAGCTTGCATTTGTTCGTTTGCAAGTAAAAAGAAAAAAAAAAAACCCAATTAAATGGATTCTCTATCTCCTTCTTTCATAGGCCCAAAGAGTTATCTGACTTTTCTTTTATGAACACTACACAACGAGATGTAGCAGAGAGAAGGGATTCCACCAGAGCCACAAATCACCGTATGTTGACACCTACCATGCAATAATTACAGTTTCCTAGTGAAAAGGCACGTATGGTATGTATTTGTAGTGCTTGGTTACTGGGTTCATAATAAAGAGCAAAAGCAAGCAATGAACAATTCTTTACCTTTGTTTTAGCATTGACATTTGCTCCCTGCTTGAGAAGAAAATTCACCATTTTGATGTTTCCATAGTGACACGCCACAATTAAAGGTGTATAGCCAAGCTACAATAAGAGAACAAAGAAGTAAAACTGCAAGCTCAGTGGAACATTCCTTTTACAGTGGTAGCACCCTTTGGCACACCGGAGACAGTAGCCACTCTGCGATTTACCTTTGTCTGAGCATCTTGGTTCGCACCGTGTTTTGTGAGTATTTCAGCTACGTTCACTTTATCCTCTTGGGCTGCAAGGTGTAAGGATGTCAGTCCAGTCTGGAGGTGGAATATACAAAATAAATTAATACAGATAAAAAGAAGAATAAAACCTACTTTACAGAAGGAAAGAAGTCTCGACTTTCCCGCTTTCTCATCTTTAAAACATGAAGAGATCGTAACTATAGCTTCTAAGTATGGGTGTTTTGTTTAAACAAAGTGGAGTTGATCTTTCTCCTGATCTGGCTGACAAACAGCTCCAAAGCAATTACATCACCATAACCACAGAGTAAAACTTTCAGGCATCAACGATCATGCTCAGAATTTATACAATAATGTCACTTGGGAAGCTGAGAGGCCCATTAATAAATTGGGGAAGCACATTCACTGTGCTTCCCACTCCTCAGACAGGAAAGGGAACCTTGACAACTGCAGGCACGAGTCGGAATGAAGAAAATAACTCCAGAAATAGATCCCATTCAAAGATGCCAAGGAAATGGATGCAGCCTTTAACTACAAGCTCTTTGTGATCACGCACATGGTACTTGCCTGCGAACAAGGCAGGGAACAAATTTTGGAAGAGAAATGAAAATCACCTTGTTTCTCAGTGGTTGGGTAGCATAATACGTTAATGCCCGACAATGAGAGACTTGAGCCTTCTGTTCGGACTTGTATGAACAAAAGCTGCAGGCTTTTGACCTGAAGTAAATACAACTTACATATATGCCTAGATGAATCTGGTGACCTATTAAGATCTATAGATCTACAGTAATGGATTATTTTTTTGGAGGAACTTTTTTCTATGAAAAAGCTGTCATGAACCATCATTAAAAAGAAAAAATTTGGAAAGGTCCTTTGTAGGATTTTTCTCACTCGCCACTCCGCCTATAAAGTTGTTTTGTTATTTGCCAGACACTGCCAATTTCTTCCACTTAGAAAGAGGGCTGAAGGGTAAATATATGAGGAAAATCACCTTTTCTGGCAAGAGCACGGAAGTATTTTAGTCTGTAGCTCTCAGGTCTCTGCTACATGTTGTTAAATCTACCCATGGACCCCCACACTCCAGAATTTTACATTGCTCTTCCTTTGCATCTACTGTGAAACTTCAGGAGCATAAGCAAAACGCCTGAGAGATGGCAAGGTTGCAGCACAACAAAAGTACTGCAGTCCTGCCTTCCTGAATGCTCAGAAACAATTTTCTCTTGGTCCGCCTCTCCTCCTGCAACCCCTCTACCAGAGCCAGGTGTTACATCGCTTTTCCTCCGGTCCCGGCAAACAGCTGCAGCTCCTCCTGTGCATCACCCAGTACAGCTATTAATTACACAGTGTAAGTTAACTGGTCAACCCATCTGCCAGTCCTAGATACCCTCTTCTCACTTTTACTGTTCAGCCACCTGTTGTCATTTCTGCAGACTCCCAAATACGTATATAAGGAAGCAAAGCTGAGAATTCCTGACAACGTGACATCATTCCTCCACTGCACTTTGCATCTTACTGGATACTCCCACCCGCAGTACTTTGTCTCCGGTTTGTGAGTTACCTTTGTTGCCACATGGATATTGGATCCTTTCTCCAAAAGCAAGGTCACCATGTCAGTGTGACCTTCTTGCGAGGCCAGATGAAGCGGGGTGACTCCCTGCTTGGTCAAAATGTTGGTCTCAGCCCCATAGTTCAACAGAGTGGTAGCTATCTGCATCTGATTTTTCTTGGCGGCAATATGCAGAGGGGTGTATCCATTCTAACAGCAGTCAGGAAACAAAATGAGAGTCAAGTTAACGCAACAGCCATGTAAGCCTAAGAAGCCAGACACCATAAACCAGTATTATTTTATGTTCCCCCTTATTCCTAGAGATGAGAGTTCATTAAATTTTCAAGGCCAGACATGTCCCACGTGGCCCTGCTGTTGCGTTGCTTTGTCCGTCTGTTATTTTCGCCCTCTAGACTAGCACAAAGCCAGCCCTCCCTAGGGTGGGCAGGACTGTTCAGCTGCTATCTTCAAATTATCCCCAGTTTGACACCTACATTTTGAATATCCTATGTTGTAAATATTCACTTTTGAGTGACGAGTGACATTCTCCATGATGAGTGATGATGGGTGCGCACTCTCCATTGCATTATGCTTTTTCGGAGCGTGTGGGTAGAGGTGTGTTTGCATATGGAATTTTGATACATGTGTCAGTCACGGCACTGGCTGGAAACAGCAACAGGGAGGAATGTTTTTCTGATCAAATTAACCATTAAGCAAAGCAGAATGGCATCGATGGCGCTTTCCGGCGATAAGACAACTTCCCACCTATAATTGCTTTGCAACGCACCGTGGGGGGAAATTCTGGGTTACAGCAGACAGCCCCTCTGGAGGTGTTCAGTTGGCTGGGCTGTGTTTTTTGTAAAAGGGAGCTTCAGCAAACTACCCTACTGCAGCTGTAGCTGTTGCTGCTCTCCACGCACCGCAATGGAAACAACGGCTCTGATGCAATCGCTTAAGCGACGGGCCGCGTTTTTTGGCGGCACGTACAACGGCAGCCTCACGCGGGGCGGAACGTTCCGCCACCAGCACCAGTTCGCTCCTTGTTTTCCCCTTTCAGCAGCCTTTGCCTAACTTGGTGATATGGCGACACCGTTCCTAACCCCAGGATGAATCCTCTGTACGCGCGGTCAGAATATACGCATCGTTTCTAATATTACACGATACTAAAGCGACTTCCAGCTATGACTAAAGCTCGCAAACTTAAAAGCGGGCTGAGAGACACATACTTACGTACATACACTTCCAGCTATGACTAAAGCTCGCAAACATAAAAATGGGCTGGGAGAGAAACACGCTTATGTACATACACATATATATTTCTTCGAAGTTTCAATGAAGCTCTGAGAGAGCCGTAGACTAATTTAGGTTGGGGGACATCCAGCCAGGGC